GCCCGTGTGGTCTTCAGAGCGGCAGCGAGTGTGTTCCCTCAGGAGATGCTCTAGGTTCCCTCCTGCGGGCCAGGCCCTGTGTGCCGCGCGCGCTGAGGAAGCGCAGCCGCGAGCAGGCAGGACGGGCCCCCTGCGGAGGCTGCAGTCCAGGGGGGGAGACAGACAAGAGGCCAGAGTTCTGAGGGGGCAGCAGCGGTGGACACAGTATCGGGGTGACGTGTGAGATGGCGATGAGGAGCTGATGGAGGCGGAGGTGCTTTCGGTGGGCGCCCAGGGGCCGCAGGGATGGCAACCAGAGGAGTGACTGTACCCCTCGGTGCACGGGGACGGCCCACCCACGGAGCCTCGGGGGCGGGGGTGGGAAGGATGAGAACGGAGCGCCACGAGCTGTGAAGTGAGGTGGTGACAGCGAGGCCTGAGGGGTCCGCACCAAGCCACGTGACCTACAGCCAGTGCCTGCCCTTTGCAGACTAGGACCACATCCAAAACAGCGTTGGTTGTGAAATGTCCTTCCGTATAACGCACCACCTATCGGAATCGCAAGATACCATCTGATTTCAGCAACTGTTCGATGGAATTAATAAAAAGGGGGGGGGTGCATCTTGTAACTGATGAACGATGGCGATCATCCTCTGTCTCTTCTGGCTGGGTTCTAGTCAGCACCGAGGGGGGAAATGGACCCCGTGTGCCAGGGCCTGGCGCGGCGGAGGCTGGCATCCCCGTTCCCTGAGATGGGGGAGCAGGGCCCGTGGGGAGCCCTGGGAAGGGCTTTTGGAGCAAGGAGGTCGCACCGCAGCGGGGCCCTGAAGAGTCCATAGGGTTTGGATGTGTCCGCAGGAAGCAATGGGGGGGCGGGGGGTGTCCTGACCTGCAGGAAGGAAGGCGGGAAAGACGCTGCTGCTTTTAATGAGCATTTTGCTATTAATGAGCATCCTGGGATTTTCATAAGACACCTGCCTGCAAGTTCATCGACCCCTCAGTCAGCACGGAGGCCCCTCGAGGGTGCCTGACACGGGTCTTGGTGTCAATGGTTGTTGAGTGAATGAATGGGTTACGCGAGGCGGCTCTGTGTTTGGAGTGGAGCCTCGTTTCTTTCCCAGGAAAACACTACGTAGGAATTGGTTTTCACCTTTTAAAACTGGTTCCTAATCGCAGCTGGCCTTGCTGCTAGGTGATTGGATGTATTCAGGGCCAGATGGATTCCTGATTCCTCCCTTTAAACCCCCCCCCCCCCCCCCCCCCAAATTTCACTGCTAGTGGTTTTTGCTGCTGGTTGTTCAGTGCCTTCTATCATGGACCAGGCATTTAAAATATATTTTATTGATTTTTTACAGAGAGGAAGGGAGAGGAATAGAGAGTTAGAAACATCGATGAGACAGAAACATCGACCAGCTGCCTCCTGCACACCTCCCACTGGGTATGTGCCTGCAACCAAGGTACATGCCCTTGACTGGAATCGAACCCGAGACCTTTCAGTCCACAGGCCCACGCTCTATCCACTGAGCCAAACCAGTCACGGCGGACCAGGCATTTAAAATGCAAATATCGCCCCGGCTGGTGTGTCTCTGTTGGCTGGGCGTTGTCCCGTGCACCAGAAGGTCAGGGGTTCGATTCTCAGTCTGGGCACATGCCTGGTTGCAGGTTTGATCTCCAGTGAGGGGTAGGAGGTGTGCAGGAGACATCGATCGATGTTTCACTTTCACATCGATGTTTCTCTTTCCCTTCCTCTCTCTCTAAAGTCAATAAAAAACGTATTTTAAAAATAAATAAATAAAAATGCAAATACCTTTGGGTCCATCCAATCGATACTTATTACACACCCTCTATGGCTAAGCAGCATGTGAGGAACAAAAGATGAGCAGTGACAAAACAGACGCACCCCCTCCTGCAGCTGACGGTCTAGCGGAGGGGGCGGTCTGCCGAGCGGGCGAGGGCTTGCTCAGGGCCACGGAGCTTAAGTGTGTAAGAGAGCGCGGCCTTCTGTTAACCTCAGCACTGTCAGGTCACAGGCGCGTAAAGGCATGTAGGGTGTTAGCTTTTCACTGTCATGGGGCTCATGTTTTCTTCTTTTTGTTCATATTTTCAGAAGATGAATTGAATCTTCTAGTTATTATAGTTGATACCAACCCAATTTGGTGGGGGAAGCAAGCATTAAAGGAATCCCAGGTAAGATTGCTCGAGGGGGCCTTTGGGTAATTGTAGTTTAACTGAGTATGTGTTTATATTGCTTTAAAAAAAATAGCTTGAGTAAGGTATTTATATACCATAAAATTCGCCCATTTTAACGTACAGTTGGGTGATTTTTAGTAAAATCCACAGTAGAGTTGTGTAACCATGACCACAGTTCTGTTTTTTTATTTGTTTAGTCCTCACCTCAGCATGGAGGGTTGCGGGCTGGAGGAGAAATCTTTACATATTCTGGACACAAGTCCTCTATCAAATATATGATTTACAAATATCTTCTCTTGGCCTGTGGCTTTGTGGTTTGTCTTTTCATTTGCTTAATGGTGCCTTTTTAAAACAGCTTTATCGGGATAGAACGGACATGCAATGAACTGTCTCTAAAGTGTTCCGTTTGACATGTTTTCACATATGTACACATTCATGAGGTTATCGCTACAATCAAAAGGAGGGACCTATAGATCCATCAGCCCCGGGAAGTGTCCTCATGCGCCTTTGTAATCGGCCCCCCCCCCCCCCCCGCCTCTACACCCCCTGCTCTTCTTTCTGTTACTTCAGTTTGCATTTCCGAGGTCTCTACATGAATAGAACCAAACAGTACGTACGGGGGAGTTTTTGGTCTGGCTTCTTTATTCCGCATCATCATTCTGAGCCTTGTCCATGTTGTTGCCTGTCCCAGTATCAGTTCCTTTTGCCGCTGCATAGTATTCCGTGGCTGGGTAGACCGCACATCCCTGCGTGGTACCTTATCCCTCTGCAGAAAAAGTGGCTCATCTTGACCTCTCGTCACTGGTATATAAGAAGGCCTTTTCGCCTTTCACTTTTGCTCACAGTCAGTACGTTTGCCATCTGGAAATTTTAATAGGTTTGTTTTATTTTTAAGAAATAAAGTGAAATTAATCAGCATTTTATTTTCCTGCCTGAAAGTATTTTTGATGAACTCTTAGTGATTTGAAGAGCTCATGTAGGGGTATGCAGAGCTAATTGACCTTTCTGGTGTCTTCCTCTTTCAATAGTTCACGTTATCGAAATGCATAGACGCAGTGATGGTGCTGGGAAATTCTCACTTATTCATGAACCGGTCCAACAGACTCGCGGTGATAGCGAGTCACATTCAGGAAAGGTAGGACCGCCAGGGTGTTCTTCGAGGTCGTGGGACTTGCATGCCAGTTGCGTGTCCGGTGCCTGCTGTATGTCGCAATGACCTTTTTCTGTATCCGTGAACAGTACTCACAACATCGAGAAGCAGCACATGTACAGCTTGAGAGTGTGAGCATTGAAAGCCTCCCTAGCTGGTGTACAGTAGAGCTGGGCGGGTGCTCGTCTCACTTACACCTTCATCTTGTGCTCTGGGCAGAAAGGAGCATCATCAGATGGGCCAGCAGCTCCCGTCACTGCTCTCCTGGCGGGTCTGCCCCGGGGCGGGGAGAGCGCTGGGATTCCACTTTCCCTTCAGCCAGCCCAGCTCCTGGGCACCTCTCACTCCCAGTGTGACTACTGCACGGCTCTGGGTGTGATTCGGTGTTTATAAGTAAGGACTTTTCTTACAAATTGGCTCCTTAACCCACACCAGCTCCGCCATCGGGGGCTGGGCTGAAGAAACAGTGACCCTTCCTAACACTGGTGCAAACACCTGTCTGTGTGGCCAATAGCTCTGCAGCGGGCATGCAAATAGGGCCATGTGCCAGCAGCGATTCTCATGAATAATTCTGACCCTGTTTACTTGTCACGTTGTACACGGACTGTGGAATCCAGTCCCCATGTGAGACTCGGCTCCTCTCTGATTAGTGAGTGTCCCTCACAGCAGACAGGACTCTTGTTTACCCACCTGTTTCATGAGGTTGGTGGCCGGTTGTCAGGCTGCTCGGTTCTCAGGGCTTGTTCCCTCGGTGTGTGGAGAGAACCCACAGGCTCCCACCCAAGTGCTCCCCTCCCGTCGTCGCCAACATCCTCTCGGAATCAGAAGAGGACGCCGATCTGATTAAGCTGTCACTCAGAGCAGGGAGGCTAAGTGTTCACGGTTTAGAAAAACCGGACGTGTTTTCCGTGATTGCCACAGAAGTCCTGGGCCACTGGAGGAGTCTTTAGGGGCCCCTTTGCCAGATTCCCAGTGCTGGGCAGAGAACCGTACCTCAGACAGCAAACTGACAGCACGTTAGACGGGCCAGAAGCAGAGGGAGAGCCCCGAAGCGTCTTCAGAGACACAGCCAGTGTCCTCTGTTTCCTCTCGTCGCTCAGAAAACAGTGGCATCATTAAGACATTCTGTGGTGTGGTGGGCGACTCGTGTTTCCACCTTTATGCATGTTTTCATTTGTATTATTTTACTTATTTATTAAGTATATTTTATTTATTTTTACAGAGAGGAAGGGAGAGGGAGAGAGAGATAGAAACATCAATGATGAGAGAGAATCATGGATCCGGGGCCTCCTGCACACCCCCTACTGGGGATCGAGCCTGCAACCCGGGCATGTGCCCTTGACCAAAATCGAACCCGGGACTTCAGACCACAGGCTGACGCTTTATCCACTGAGCCAAACCAGCCAGGGCTATACATTTTTTAAAAAAATGGAATTTATTATGGGTCTTGTGATCCAGAGTTAATGTGGCTTTTGTGTGTTTTCTCTGCTGAATGTCACCCTGTCTAGTGAGGGGGCTGCGTCCTGGTGTAACTAGGCTTTTCCCACCATTTCAGCCGATTCCTGTACCCTGGGAAGAACGGGCGACTCGGAGACTTCTTCGGGGACCCTGGCAACCCCGCTTCTGAATATAACCCCTCGGGGAGCAAAGACGGGAAGTACGAGCTGTTGACAGCAGCAAATGAAGTCATTGTGGAGGAGATCAAGGATCTGATGACCAAGAGTAAGAGCTTTTCCCCTCCATTGTTGTTATGTTGCAAATGGAGTTGAACATGGGGGGCCTGAAATCCAAGGATTTGAGGTTCTTGGTGCTGCTACTTGCCATTTTGTCAACGTCTGTGCGGCATTTCCCTGACGCTGCAGCTTCGACACTGCCCTGCCTCCGCCTCTTGAAGCACATTCTTTGGCTTCTACGACTATCCTGTTGATCTGGCTTTCCTCTTTTTTGGACCACTTTTTCTTCTATTTATGACTTTTCCTTAAAATATATATTTTCTATTTTGTTTAAAATGTTATTTTTATTCATGAAGAAGAATACTTTGGTTTAATAATGATTTTAGTTCAAGAAAATGCCAAGAAATTCCCTTCTTAATGCTTCTTCTTCTTATTTGTAGGTGACATAAAGGGGCAGCACACAGAGACTCTGCTGGCAGGGTCCCTCGCCAAAGCTCTGTGCTGTATCCTTGGTGGTGTGCTCATTCGTGGTGTCTTCTGGGATAGACGTGTCTTCCTGGGGATGTTGCCTGGACCTGTGTCCACGTGAACGAAGGCTGAGCCTTGCAAAGCGATGGCTTTGCAGTGTTTGAGAACAAGCTGGAAAAACTCGAAGTGGGAAGAATGGGAGAACTCTAGTGCCTTTTATTATATGTAGAGAGAAACATCGATGTGTTGTTCCACTTACTCATGCATTCATTGGTTGCTTCTTGTACGTGCCCTGACGGGGGATCGAACCCGCAACCTTGGTGTATCGGGATGACGCTTTCACCAACGGAGCTCCTGGCCAGGGCCTGCTCACAATCCTTCAGGGCACGTCCTTGCTTCCTTGTTTCTTAGTTAGGCAGACTGGGGAGTTGGTGTTTTGTTTTTTCATCTCTTTTTCGTTTCTGTTGGATTATAAAAGCCACTCACTGACCTGATGCTCAGTAAGCGAGCAGTTGTTGCTCCACAGGCCAGCGGGTTACTTTGCGTTTAGCGTGGGGTCCACAACCCCTGTAAGCATTTCGATGTTGTCTATGTTTGTGTGATGTTCTCCCAAAGTTAAGCACTTGAATTTGCTTGGGACAGTATTGAGTGATTGCTCTGTTTCGGACTTTGAGGGTGGTGGCTGACCCCTGTGTGTGGTCTTCAGTTCCAGATCCCCCCTGACTGGCTGGCTGGCTGGTCCCAGTGTTCAACTCTGGGGTGTGGGGGGTCATCATGCAACAGTCTGTGGTGGTCATTTCCATTTTCGGGCACAAAGATACTTTGGAAACCCCTAGTCCTTCATTTGGTGTGTCTATCATGGTAAAGGGAACAGGTCTTTTTCTCCGTTTGGGATGCTGGGTTTATTTAATTGAAATTTGAGGTTATTTGTCTGTTTACTCTCAGTTCCAGATCCCCCCTGACTGGCTGGCTGGCTGGTCCCAGTGTTCAACTCTGGGGTGTGGGGGGTCATCATACAACAGTCCGTGGTGGTCATTTCCATTTTCTGGCACAAAGATGCTTTGGAAACCCCTAGGCCTTCGTTTTGTGCGTCTATCACGGTAAAGGGAACAGGTCTTTCTCTCCGTTTGGGGATGCTGGGTTTATTTAACTGAAATTTGAGGTTATTTGTCCGTTTACTATGAATATTGATGAAAGTAAATGATACTTTAAAATTCCTTAATGCTAAGAAAACAAGACATCCACAGGATGAACAAGGAGGTTAAAGGTAGGAGCCTCCGTTTCCTATGAGACTGATCTTACTTCACTACTGTAACTTGGTGGGCTGCATGGGTTGGTTAGAAAACCTTACAACATGCCTGATAAGACTCAGTTACATGGTAGCCTGCGTTCCTCTCTTTACAGACAATCAGGAGATGAAGTCCAGGATACTGGTGAGATGTGTCACATTAATCCTGTGCTTATGTTTATGCTTATGTCTGCCTCGGCCGCTGGGGTGGTTGCCCTCCCGCGTGGCGTCGCTGATGGGGATGGAATAGCGCAGCTCCCCCAGGGCAGCTGGTTGTCCCCGGGTCAGGGTGGAATGTGTGGCCTCACCGATTTCAGGAGCTCATCCCGGAGTCCGTCAGAGCGCTGTCTACACCGAGCCTTGCAGGCGCTTCAGAGTCCCCTGCAGGGACTTGGGTAAATAGCGGAAGTCAGCTAAGTTGGCAGGAAGGACATAGACGCCTAAGAAGCAGGTCGCAGCGCACTAGACGGAGGACTGTCCGTTCGTGTGTGTGCAGTGGGTGCGAGTGTGTGACGTGCCCCGTAGCTGCTCTCCAGAAACTGTTAGCAAGGACTGTCCCTGGAGTGGCAGGATTTGGGGGTTCCGTCTCCTTTTCACCGATAGGGTTGTTTACTGAGGATGGCTAGGCAGACAGTGAGAAAAGCGCTGTTGGCTGAGCTTGCGGAGTAGCGGGACCTCCCGGGGGAGGGGGTGCGCCTGCAGGTCCTGACAGGCTGTGACTGCAGGTGATCAAGGCCGCGGAAGACAGCGCCCTGCAGTACATGAACTTCATGAACGTCATCTTCGCGGCGCAGAAGCAGGTGAGCGCACGCCCTTCCTTTCCGGGACGCTCGCTTCGTAATGAGGAACTAATTTCTTTTTTCTTAATGAACCACTGGGGGAGGTTTTCTGACTAAACAGCCTTATGAATGGAGCAGGAATCTGGAATCCATGGTTCCTACAATCATTTGAGTCCTGGGCCCCTTGAGAATGAGCCCCCAGAAAGACGTGCACTCAGTGTTAATGCACTTTCAGGGTGTTCATGCGCCCCATTGGGCCCATCCGAGGACCCAGGCTAAGAGTCTCTGGCCTTATAATGTGCTACATGCCTTGATGAACTGTCACTAATACATGTCATTTTCTCCTTTGATGTGTTAAAACTTCTGTTATAATCTAAATGCCATAGTTGCATATACTGTTCTCCATTTGGGAGTAACCACGTGAGGTAGTGAAAAGACCATGGGCCTCGTGGACAGGCCATCTAGGGCTGACCCGCTGCCTCCCCTGGCTCCATGGCCACAGCCTGGCCCGGCCTGGGCTGCAATATGCTAATTGGATATCTGCCTTGCACAGTTATGCATGTTAAATAAGCCATTTCAAGAGTAGAGGTTGGCACATAGATTCTGAGTATAAAGTAGTCATTGTTATCATTCCTGTAATGTTTTCGGAATATTCGTTTCAGAATATTTTGATCGATGCGTGTGTTTTAGACTCCGATTCAGGACTCCTCCAACAGGTACGTTCTAGGTGAATGCTTGGTGTTGGTTGTGAAAGGGGGTGTGTTCTGTTCCTATTGTTCCATGCCTTTCACTGATCGTCACACATTTGTAGGGATTAGCCTGTGTGACAGTATAGATGAGAGAACGAACATTTCTCTGGCCCCTTCAAACTTTCTATTTTACATAATAACTTGATTGACTTTGGAAAAGTGATTCACACATTAAAACAAATATAAGCAACACAGAAAAGTATTTTTTAAAAAGGTTTAAAAAATCCCTTCAAATACTATTATTCGAAAGTTACCATTGTTAATAATTGGTGAAGAGAATGATAGATCTCTGTGTATATAGATATAGATTTTTAGGAAGAGGAAGGGAGAGGGGGAGAAACATTGACGCGAGAGCCAAACATTCATTGGCTGCCTCCTGCCTGCCCCCTACTGGGGATCAAGCCTACAACTCAGGCGTGTGCTCAGAAATTGTCCCTTTCCGCGCAACCACCTGAGCCACACTGAGTTAATTGTATGGCGTGAATTATATCTCAGAGTTGTTGTTGTAAAAACATAATGACTGAATAAACGTGGCAAGAATCAAGTTCATCAGCAGCAAACAAACAGAAGGAAGGGTGGAAGGCGTGAGCCAAGGGCAAAAGGAAGCTGCGTGCACATCCCAGGAGGAAGTGGCAGTTCTGGTCCGCGCTCTGGGGAACACTGCTTTCACTCTGCTGTGTCGTCTCCTCCCCGTTGGGAGACCTGCAGCACGTCCCCCTGGAAAAGCGAAGTGCGTGCTGCTTTGGCAGGGGCCCTGGTGTGTCTTGCAGGCTTGTGACATCACAGGGGGCCTGTACTTGAAGGTGCCGCAGATGCCCTCCCTCCTGCAGTACCTGCTGGTAAGGAGCCGTGACGGTGCGCCTGGCACCTGAGACCCGTCTCCTGGGGAACGAATGGGCGCAGATGGCGGGTGCTAGTCATTGGAGGAAAGGAGGGAAGGGGTGTCAGAGGGGACTCGAAGCTGAGAAGGGGGTGGGGCTTCCCATAGTCTTTGAACCCTGCAAGCCGTGTGCAGTGTTGTGTGCCTGCCTGTTTGCGGAGCGGTGCCTGTATGTGGAGGGGCTCAGTAATTGCTGAGTGAGTACTAAAAAGGCTTTTTATTTTATTTTATTTTTTCAGTGGGTCTTTCTTCCTGATCAGGACCAGAGATCTCAGTTAACCCTCCCTCCCCCCATTCACGTGGACTACCGGGCCGCCTGCTTCTGCCACCGCAACCTCATCGAGATCGGCTACGTCTGTTCTGTGTGCTTGTCGAGTAAGTTCACGGCCGAGGTGGTTCCTTCTTGCCATGGCTCGGGAGGCCGGAGAGTGTCTCCACGGTGTGGTTTTCAGCCATCCTGGCTTTTCTTTGTTTTCTGCATTTACAGTATTCTGCAACTTCAGCCCCATCTGCACTACCTGCGAGTAAGTATCTTTGGGGTTAGGTGGCTGGCTCCCGCCTGCGGCAGAGAGTTCGCGCGTTAAAGGGCGTCTTGCTCCCTGTGTCGTTTCAGGACGGCCTTTAAGATTTCTCTGCCTCCCGTGCTGAAGGCCAAGAAAAAGAAACTGAAAGTGTCTGCGTGATGGTCGAGCTTTCCCACCTCCCAGAGCTGCCGTAGAAACGGGGGAGGGGAGAGGGGAGTCTTTGTAAGGAGGCTCCGAAAAATACAGCGATGTGTAAGAATTCCTAATGCGGTTCCTTACAGGATGCAGTCCTAAAAGATCACCCTCACCCTGTGGGGACTGCTGTACGTGGGGAGCCCTTCTCTGCAGTATCCATCCCTAGAATGCTTCCAGAGGGTTCTGTCCAGACGGGGAAAAGCGCACATTTGTGACTTTTTAAACCGGACGATCACGTGTCACACCAGCCTGTCCTGACTGGGCGTAGGCTTTAGAGCTTCTTACTGTCAAGCGTTACAGGGGGAATTGGAACAGTTTCAGAAAAAGTGAGTGAGGGCCTAGTCAACATGCACCGTCTTACATACGTGGATCCACTTTCAGATCCTTGTTGTCTGCGTGGAGCTTCAGCCTCAGGTACTTGCAGGTACTCAGTCCTTTGTGTGACGTCGGCACATGTTTGGACAGCGATGCCCAAATAATAATAACAGTTTGTCTCGGAATCACTGCCAAATGGCTTTACATGAGTCAGGCGAGTGATGCAGGAGTCTGGCGGCAACTTCTTCAGAAGCAGTTGTGTGAGGAGGTCATTTGTGAACGCTGATGTCTGGACTGTGAGGGTACTCCAGGGTTGGGGGGATGGATTCTTTATAGTGTCACCCGCAGACTGAATCCTTTCTTTTTAACCAAGGAAAAGAAATAAAAGTATTAACACTGGCTAACTGATCTCTAGAAGCTTTGGACTTAATACTGAAAATTTCTGTCGGTTCAAATGAAAAAATATTTGTAATTTCAGCAATAAAAATCGTATTTTTTCCATGTGACCTTGAAGTTATTAAGTCCTTTTAAATTCCAGCATAGTGTGGGAAGGGTTTTCGGGAACAGTGGCTGATTTGGTTTGTTTTTAAAAGTATGTTGCCAAGGGGGACATCTGTAATATTTCAACAACAAAAAAGCATGTTGACAAATTGTGTATCCAATCTTGTACACCAATAAGATTTAAATTTTCTCTTTATACCATCTCTGAAGCTCAATCTCATTTAAGTAACTTGTGTTTGGTTAGATTATTTCAGGTGGGTTTTGTATTTTGGACTTACGATTTTATTAACTACACAAAGATTTTTGTGATAACTTTGCAAGTATTTGTTAATTCTTGAGTTGGAGAATCTCTTTGAAAATAATATTTAATATTCATAGCCTCATTAAGTGTAATGGAAATCCGTATTTTAAGTCTAGGAAAGAAAGCATTGTATATCTAAAAGGATAATTTCAAGTAGTTTTGATAAGATTGATTTTCACTGGAAATGTTTTTATATACTGTTTTAGTTCTGTTTGTTTTATTTTTAACGGTTGTGTTTATGGTTTATTTTATATAAATTTTTATAATAAAATAATTTGAACTTTAATATTTTCTTGAGTTATTTTCTCTTAATGTTTATTTCATGCTCATTCAACTCTGCGTCAAATGTGTACTTTTTAACTGGATTTGGTCATATACCACATTTTTATTAATTTCTGAAGAACTTTAATTTCAAATCTTGCCAAAGTTATTTGTGAAAATGCTGGTACATTTTTTGCCAGGCTGAATTCTGGTGCTTTTGCATCTGTCCTAATGCGGGGCAAAACCTTTCGAGTGTGGTTTGATGCAGCCTGCTTTCGGGGTGTTGAGACCTTCAAAACTGGTAGAACAGTAAAAACAACGCAGTCATGGCCACGCAGCCGCACCCCCTTTTGGCCCGTCCCCATAAGAATGAAGGGTGTTACGGCGCGTGTTTGGAAGCCAGTGTCTGCAGGCTCGCTCTGCAGCGAGGGAATCAATCGGGTGTGGAAACTCCAGGTTTTAAGTTCCTGATCCTTCAGGGGAGCTCAAGGTTCGTGGGCGGGGCCAGGGTGCGGTGGGCGGAGCCAGAACGCTGGGGCCGGGGGCGGGCTCTCTGCCTCTGGTCCAATCCTGCGCGACGCTCCGCAAGCCGGCGGCC